AACACAACACACCAGATATGATAGGGAACACGTTGGGAGAATCAGAACACAACACACCAGATATGATAGGGAACACGTTGGGAGAATTAGAACACAACACACCAGATATGATAGGGAACACGTTGGGGAGAATTAGAACACAACACACCAGATATGATAGGGAACACGTTTGGGAGAATTAGAACACAACACACCAGATATGATAGGGAACACGTTGGGAGAATTAGAACACAACACACCAGATATGATAGGGAACACGTTGGGAGAATCAGAACACAACACACCAGATATGATAGGGAACACGTTGGGAGAATCAGAACACAACACACCAGATATGATAGGGAACACGTTGGGAGAATTAGAACACAACACACCAGATATGATAGGGAACACGTTGGGAGAATTAGAACACAACACACCAGATATGATAGGGAACACGTTGGGAGAATCAGAACACAACACACCAGATATGATAGGGAACACGTTGGGAGAATCAGAGCACAACACACCAGATATGACAGGGAACACGTTGGGAGAATCAGAACACAACACACCAGATATGATAGGGAACACGTTGGGAGAATTAGAACACAACACACCAGATATGATAGGGAACACGTTGGGAGAATCAGAACAACAACACACCAGATATGATAGGGAACACGTTGGGAGAATTAGAACACAACACACCAGATATGATAGGGAACACGTTGGGAGAATCAGAACACAACACACCAGATATGATAGGGAACACGTTGGGAGAATTAGAACACAACACACCAGATATGATAGGGAACACGTTGGGAGAATCAGAACACAACACACCAGATATGATAGGGAACACGTTGGGAGAATTAGAACACAACACACCAGATATGATAGGGAACACGTTGGGAGAATCAGAACACAACACACCAGATATGATAGGGAACACGTTGGGAGAATCAGAACACACCAGATATGATAGGGAACACGTTGGGAGAATCAGAACACACCAGATATGATAGGGAACACGTTGGGAGAATCAGAACACAACACACCAGATATGCTACAGATGGTTTCAGGGCTAAGGACAAAGTGGCAGCTGTTCAGCTCCCTGATGCTCTCTCTGAAATATGTCACTGAAACAATCAAAAAGTCAATACTTAACAGTCAAATCCACCAATGCCGCTGATACAAGCCCATAGAATGACTGAGTAACACACGATGCTAGTCTGCTAATATGATATACTGTTTAGTCTTTTAAAGGTGACATATGGTTAAAGACATGCTCCGGTACCGCTTTGGGCTGGATGTGTCAATGTGTAGTTCATACATGCAGAATATATGAGCAAAAATAATGTCTTGACTCAATTAGTCACTAAATCCCTAGTTTGAAAGCAACTGTTTTCTGGACGTTTTGCTGCGCAGTTTCCTCTGCATTCCCCCCCCCCCCCCCCTCCCCCCACGTGGGCCAGCCCCCCCCCCCTCCCCCCACGTGGGCCAGCCCCCTAGCAATTTGAGTTCCAGCCAAGGAGATTCAGCTCCTTGCCATTTGAGTGACAGCTATCAAGAATCACACACAGTGGAGAGCGAGAGAGCGAGAGAGCGAGAGAGCGAGAGCGATGATGTGGTGCACATATCTGCACATACGTGATTTAGTACCCAATTTTCGGGGACCCCTATTGGCTCGTGAGCTCTACTCTCAGAACTACTGGCAACAAAAAAAAAAAGTATACAAAAGTACCGGAGAATCTCTTTAAGCCAAAAAGTGTGATTGTGATATCGTCTGTCTTTGAATCCCAACCGGTCACTGGAACAATTAAGAAGTAGAGGCAGAACAGCAACAGGATGTCAGATCCTTTATACTGTCAGAATAGAACATTAAAGATACAGACCATGCTATCGTATTGAGGTTTGTCGCCCATAAAGGATTAATAGTGGTGAGTGTACCTCCATTGCCACCCGTTGACTTGTAACTGGAGCTAACAGAGCCAGAACACATTCCTCTACATATTCCACATTCCTCTACATATTCCACATTCCTCTACATATTCCACATTCCTCTACATATTCCACATCCGTCTTCTCCGAGGTTAGTTATAGTTTATTCTACGTTAGTCTGCACCTCTGCAAAACATGTTTTGGGTGTGTTTCAGCTTTATGCCTTTTACCAGACTCTTAGGTTTGCCACCCATAAAGGATTTATAATCGAGAACCTTCAACTAGACATGCTAAGGTTCAGCTATCAAACCGCTATCAAACATCAAACCAAGGCTTCAGGCACCATGAACGTTCACATGCATATGGAGAGATCCTTTTGACACGCGCTGTGTCCTTGTACTGAGGAGTAGAAGACATGTCTTAAAGGAAATAAAATATGGCTTTTTCATACAGTCACTTTACAACCGCTGTGACAGAAGTGATATCAAAGACAAAACACTTTCAACAAAACCGTCTGGTGTTTTCAAGAGTGACGGAGAACATGAGGAGTCTACGGACCTGACAGACAGACCTTTATATAGATAAGAAAAGACAGAACAGAAGAGTTTGAGTGTGTGTGTGTGTGTGTGTGTGTGTGTGTGTGTGTGTGTGTGTGTGTGTGTGTGTGTGTGTGTGTGTGTGTGTGAGAGAGAGAGAGAGACGTAACCTGATGTATAGAAATGAAATACAAAGAAATGCCTTTCCCAATTCACTCCGAGGGCGTTTTGGGATGTCAGTACAACAGCAGAGCAGGAAAACTCATTTCAACCCGACTGATCAAGCAGCATTCTGTTACCAAATGGCAACATATTCCCTTTATTATGCACTACTTTTGACCAGAGCCCAAAGTCAAATAGGGTGCCATTTGGGATGCATGTCTTTCTCTCAGTTGTTTTACTTCCCCTCCAGCCAGTCAGTAAACTCCCTCTCTACATTTAAGGGTAAAGGCCCTGTTGGTTGGTGTCTGTTGCTGCTGTCTGCTCTTTCTTGAGCGTTCTATCTTACTTGTTTTTTCTCCTCCTTCAGAACCTTTTCTACTACGCCTTTTCTCGCTTCTTCTCTTCTTCTCTCTGTCTCTCTAATTTAAAATCCAAACTCCGGGGGGGGGGGGTCCAATCCAGGCCCAAAAAGGGACTTCTGGGCTCTTTTCTTCCTTTTGCTCTTCGAGCTCTTCTATCTATCTCTTCTCTCTTTGTCTCTTATCCCATTCTCTCTCTCTCTCCTTCTCTCTCTCTCTCTCTCTCTCTTTTCTCTCTCCTTCTCTCTCTTTTTCTCTCTCTGTCTGTATGTCTCTCTCATTCTCTCTCTCTCGCCTCTCTCTCTTGGTTTCTGCCAGAATAATTCATTTTGGGAGAAGGGAAAAATCCCATCTTTTTTTATTCAAAAAGCATCACCTCCTCGCAGGTTTCTCTTCTGCCATGAAACCATAACATCAAAGTACAGCCAGCCAGTCAGTCCCCGTCAGTCAGTCCAGTCAGCCACCAGCAGCCTCCCGTCAGCAGCCCGTCCAGGTTTAAAAAGGGAGCAAATAGCAGCAGTAAGGCAGAGCTCAGTGTAGCAGAGCAGAGTCAGTCAAGTCGTCCGTCAGCCAGTCACCAGCATCAGTCAGTCAGTCAGACAGCAGTAGTCCAGTCAGCCAGCCAGCAGTCCCAGGCAGTCGTCAGTCAGCCAGTCAGCATTCAGTCCAGTTTAGCCAGCATCAGTCGTCCAG